AGAAGAGTAGCCTTTCCCTGCTCCTTCTCTAGTTTACTCCATTTGCCAAAATGTTGTAGGAAATGTTTAGTGGCTATTTGGAGCTGTATTGCTGTGCACTGCTTTTTAAGAAGTAATTTTGTTACAAATCACATGACATGAAGGAAGGTAATAAATATATCTATGCATACTACAATGCATTATGGTGTGTATTCAGAAGAGGAAACTACGAGGAATAAAATTTAATGGATTATAAGAAAAAAAATTGGAGCACTAATGGCAAGGCCATAAAAGTTAAGAAAGGAGGGAGGGAAGGAAAAATTGTGAATTGCATTTCTAGGATAAACTACTTCTTGCAAAATGTAAATTATAGTTTAGAAAAAAAATTCTGCTTGAAATACATCGTAAATGGTGTTGCCAGGATACTTCCTGATTGTATTAATTAAACTGTCCTGCAGATATAGATTAATTAGTGTATAATTTGCATTTTGGACACAATGGTGTATGTTGCTAAAGAAAGCTCCTCTTTACTAGTAGGCATTTTACACAGATCCATTTTCAAAGGAAAATGTCTTTAGACATAACTGTTGTGGGGATTTTTTTTGCCACCAAATGATTAAGATCTGTGCTAATGAAATGATGTATGTCTAAACCTCTGTAGTAAGATGGTATTTTTGCTAGCTTCAGCACATTCTTCACCAGATCCTCCTTTGAGGCCTGAGTCTGATAACTTTCCTTTTGTCAAACAGTGCCTTATTTCATGAGATGCACCATTGTTTACAATGGTACTACTTGTGGAGTAAGGTACTAATCAAACTGAACAACGGAGGCAGACTCCGGCTCTTGAAAATATGATTACAGACAGTACTAATGCTACAGCTTACAACTCTTCCAGATCTGATAGGACAGTTATACAATTAAGCATGGTTGTGCTGCTCATTTGGGGCTCCCTCCTCTGCGGTTAACAACCCTCTGGATCATAGGGTTGACAAGTGTTTAATCTCACAGACCCAAACTCGCTTGTTCTGCCCTTGCCCACGCCTCCATTCCATCCTTCCTCCCTCCTTTGTTTGCTCTCCCCCAACCTCACTCACTATCACTGGAATGTGTGTTGCATAAATTGCTGGTTTCGTCCCCTTGGAGGCTAGTCTGATTTACCCCAAGAAGAGAGTCACACTTTCAGGCTGGGTCCAACTCAAGTTTATTGGTTGCAACCAAGGTACGGCTAAGGAACTCAATGTTCAAAGCAGAGCCGACCCCCAACATCTCATATGCAGGGGTTCTTATAGGGTTAACATCCTTCCTGGTTGAGGTGCCTTAACATGATAGGTTACTTCATTTTTGACATTTAGCGTTCCTATAGGTCAGGTTAATTTTCCAAATGAGGTTAAATACAGTGCCTACTTGCTGAACAATGGGCAAGCCATACTTCCCTTTTTCCTTTCCTGCTTGAGCCGGTCACAAGTTTAAAGGATGTGGAATCTATCCATATCTCTACTTAACAGAAGACTGGTTTCACTTCCCCTCGTCTCCTTATTATAAGTTATTACCTGTGACAGGCCTTGACCTTTGTCATGTCTTACTCCTATACAAATAGCAAATATATCTAAGCATTAGCAATGTATGTATATTGTACGTGCCCCTCATAGGGGAATCAATGGCTCCGGGGGATTTGACTTCCCTTTTACACATCATGTGGGAGGGGGCTTTGGGCTGAGCCTGTGGCAGGGAGGTAGTTGGTGTGCAGAAGGGGGTGCAGACTGCAAGTCCTGGGTGGGGGCTCGCAGCTGTGGCAAAGGGTTGGGGTGCACAAGTGGGTGAGGAATGTGGGCTCCGGTTGGGTGACATTTACCTTGGTCAGCTGCCAGTCACCAGTGCAGGGAGGCTAAAGCAGACTCCCTGCTTCCTCTAACCCTGTGCCACTCCCAGAAGCGGCTGGGGATGAAGAGTCAGATGACTCTGCACTCTGTCCTTACCCACAGGCATGGCCCCCGCAGCTCTCATAGGATGCAGTCCCTGGCCAAGGGGAGCTGCAGTATTAGTGCTCAGGATGTGAGCAGTGCATGGAGGCCTTCTGCCCTCTTCCACTTTCCAGGGCCCACAGATGTGCTGGCCACTGTGTTGCCTGACTTTTTAGAACCTCATATCTCTCAGTTTGGCTGCAGTAACCTCTGAGAGATTGAGCCTGATTCCAGGAGACTTGCGATGAAACCGGGAGGACTAGCAACCTTGCTGGATTGGCTTGCATGTCTGCCTGAAGTGACAGAGTGAGGCGCAGAGCACTGATCAGAAGAAAGCTCCTTGCTCTGCCTACTTGTGGAGAATGCTTTTTGGATCGGCTTTCTGTGGCCAGATGCTTTAGCAGCAGGGATCAAATGCTGCAAGAGCTGTTCCACTGCAATGACAGAGGCAGCCAGGACAAAGGAGAAAAGAGAAAAGAGCCAGTGGAGCAGTGAGCGTGCATGCCTATGGAGGAAAAAGGGACAAGGGAGTCATTGAGAAGAAGGAAACAAAGGACAGGGGACAGGAGGGAAGACAGATAGTGTCTGAGAAAAGAGGTTAAAAAATGGTGGGGAGGAGAAAAATGTGAAGATGGGAAAAGAGAGAGAAATGACAACCAAAATATTTTTTTTATTATCGTGTGTGTGTGTGCGTGTGTGTGTAAGTAAGTAAAATCTCTCTAAGTACATTCTTCCCAACCTTAGTGCCTGACTTTCCACTGGCTGACTCCTCGTATAGTCAATTATATATATGCTGAGTAGATACATGCCCATACAAGGTACTAAACAGCAGAGAATTAGGTCCCTACTGCCTACGAAATGTTAAAAATACTCTGCCCGTCAGCTCAGAACTCTTGGCCTTGGATGCGCCTGGCCCTCACACCAGATATTGGAAGCTGTTAATAGTGTATGTTGAGGTGTTTTGATTGGCTATTTATTATAATGCTTCCTGAAGGTTCTATGAAAGCATCTAATAAATGCGTTTGGAAACAGATGTTACCATTTACCAAAGAAATGATAAAATATGGCAAAATACTTAGGTCAAAAGAAATTCCTGGAAATCAGAATATTGCGGAAAATATTCAAACAAAATGAAGGTAGGAAAAGAAGAAAGTAGGAAAAAGAAATTGCTGTAAGGAGTCTGTAACATTCCTGTAGAAATTGCGGGGACTAGTCTTATAGCTCTTCCTTGTCTGAATTAGACCTTGACTATGCTGACACGTTTTTGTCACCAAATCTGCCTTTTGGCAACAAAACAGTGTGAGCCTTTACACTGCAATGCAACTTTCGTCAGGAAAAACACCCAGTTTTGGTGACACAAAAAAAAATTCCAGCCCTGCTCAAGACTTTTTTTTTTTCTTTTTCCATCCCTTTACTGTTGACAGAGCCGGTGTGGACTATGGATGTTAAATATCAGTTAATTGAATAGTCAGTTAACCTCATGAATTCTTATCGGTTACTCAACTATTCTATAGACCCTAGAGGTGGGGCCCCACTCCCAAGGAACCCCATGCCACTCTACTATATCAGAGGCAGCAGTGTTGGGTGCCAGGCAGGAGCTGGTCTGCCAGGGGAGCCAGTTTAAAAACCAGCTCCCCTCACAGGCCAGCTGCCTGTTGCCCTGCGCTGCTGCCTCTGATACAGAGATGGCAGTAGCCCCTCTTTGAGGGGTGGTCTGAGCTCCTGGACCCAGTGTGAGACAGAACTGAGCCAGGCTGCTGGCCAGCCTGCTAAAAAAAATTACTAGCAGGAGTGTGGGGGGTGGGGAAATGCATGTAGTCTATAGCATTAATCTATAAGCTTTTGCTTATTGGTTAATCAGTTAATCGACTACACTATTACATCCCTAATGTGGACTCTGCTGTTTGTTTTGTCAAGAAAACTGGCTTCTGCCAGTATCTCTCAATGCTTGCCCTGATGGCTGTGCTCAGTGTCTTGAGATCTCTGTTGCCCTGCAGGCATGCACCCTTTCCCTTTCAAAGCTCTGGGAAGTATCTGACAGCTGAGTGAGCTTTTCAGTTTGGGGAACAAACAGAACAAATCATTGGAATGTTCTTGTTCTGCTCTGCTAGGAACACAGAAGCAGGCAGACTGCTGCTGCAGGGGGAGGGCTGGAAAGATTGCTGTGCTTTTTTGACATTTCTCAACACAGAGAGCTCACAGAGCTACAATGGAATCCCAAGAAGCACAGTGATCAGCAGGGCTCGCCAAGCGGCGGCATGCCCCGCTCGCCAGCTGCGCGGTTTCACGCCGTTCTGCGCATGCGCGGATTGTTCTGCTTTGGCTCTTCCGGGTAGTAATCTACTCGCCTATGGCGAGTAGATTACATTATTTGTCGAGCCCTGTTGATCAGCTATGCTTTCCTGCAACACTGCACTATGGGATGCTTACCCACATTGCTTTGATGACAGCAGGGTATTAGCAATGTGGCCATGAAATGTCGATAATGGAAGGCAAAAAAACAGGTTTGACCAGTTTCCACTTATGGCAACTTTTGCATATTAACAGTACTTTTGTCACCAAATCTTCCCAGTGTAGACATAGCCTAAATTTTATGTCCAAAGATTCTTTCCTGTAACTCTCAATACTGCTAGGCCAGCATTCAATCAGTATATAAGTTCCTCAAAGGAAGCATTTTCCTGGTGCTCCATGATCTCTCTTTTAATAGTAGTGGATTTGGATTCTGCCATCTACAGAGGAATAACATTTTCACTCAAATCATTGCTAAAGTAATCTATTTTTTTGATTATGGTAGAATTCTAATTTCAAATAAATAGTGCAGAAATATTAAACCTCTGGACCACAGTGGGCTTTTTAAAATAAAAAGTTATTGAGCATTTGAATCAAGTTACAGACAGGATATTAAAATATTTCATTAGTAGGTAAAATCCTTTATGCCTATAGCAAACTCCAAATTTAGACTGGGAATGTGTTGATCATGCTGGATAATGCTGTTGCTAGAATAAACATTTCAGATTTTGCTTCTGTAACTAATTCTTTTTTTAAACTTCTTTTAAACAGGTGATTATAAACAGCACAATCACACCTAATATGACCTTTACTAAAACATCGCAGAAGTTTGGTCAGTGGGCGGACAGCAGAGCAAACACTGTGTTTGGTTTGGGTTTTTCCTCCGAACAGCATCTAACAAAGGTAACTGGGCCCGTTTTATTTCTGAAACAGCACAAGTGGTTCCTCTGAATTAAGGGACTGTGCTGCACTCATAGTATCAATCTGGTAGGAGTTTCACAATTTGAATTCTTTGCAGTTTATTAATTATCTCTTCTTATGTATATGCAAGTTGTTTACTCCCTTAACTATCCAGTAGTTATTTATGCAGCCTTAGTGGAAGTTGCAAAGTTCATTGATAAAAGGACATATTTTAATTTGATCACTTGTGGCCCTATATAAAAACTAAGGGATATAAGATTTTTGACGCTCAGTGTTTTTAGATGTTTTCAGGTACAGCCTAAGCAGTTTCTTTGCATCTCTTTTCCTGGATAACATGTTAGTTTTATACAAAAACTACATTAAAAGAACATTAAGAATGCACGGTGAAGTACTAAAATGCCAGGAAATGCCAAAGTTAAGGATGCCGATGCATGCTTAATCCTGCATCTACATTGCAATGAAGTCTCTCTCATTTTAGTAGTGATATTCAACTACAGTAAAACTCCAATAGTCCGGCACTCCTGATAGTCCAGCATCAAAATGGCAAGAGCCTAGTGAGTGAGCTTCTGCAAAAAATGAGTCACAAGGTAGCAGCAGCAGCAGCTGAACTGAGCAAAAAGGGTAAAAAAGGCTTTAAAAAACTAAAACATTACAGTATACTGTATACAGTATGTACAATAAAAAGGGTTAAGAACACTTTATATACAGTATATAATGTATACATTGTATATATATAACCATTTTATAGTACCTTCTGATAGTCCGGCATATTTGATAATCCGGCACCACCTAGGTCCCATAGGTTCCGGATTATTGGAAGTCTACTGTATTAGGCTTGTGCTATAATGCAAAATTGCTGTCCTGTGAAGTAAATATGACTGGATGTAGTGTAGTGATGGACTGGTTTGTGGGTTGAGTGAATTTGACCCATAGTGCAGGCCCTCTGGTAGGGTGACCGGCATCCCAATTTTATAGGGACAGTCCCAATATTTCCATCTTTTTCTTACATAGTTTTGTTACTCCCACACCTTATCCTGATTTTTCATATTTATCTGAGCATCTTACCTTCTAATGTTAAAGCAACTATTACTACAAGTAACTATAAAGAAGAGGTCTCCTTTATCTCACTTTAAAGTACAAGCCTGTCTTTTGGAACTAAAGGCTGAGGACTGTAGTTCTATCTCTCCTTTGTCTCTTGTTTGTAGAATAGGGATTGTATACAGCGGAGGCTGTAAAATATCCAGTCAACTCTGGTAATGAGTAGCCAATAGTGTAAATAATATGTTCTCACAGTGATTGGATTAATACTTTTCAAACACAAGTCAAGCAATGAGAATGTTTGCTCACAAAATAAAAGAAGGTACTTATCTAGCACCTAGTTGACATTTTAAGCATGAACACTCTGCCCTTATTGGCACTATCTTTTATCAGTTTACAGATATTATGACCTTGGACATTCCAAAAAGTCTCCATTAATCTCACTCTGTCTTCTTGCATGTTTTTCTCTGAGCGGTACTAGCAAACAGCAAAGACCATTGCAGTGGGAAAAAAAAGTCTGTTGAGTGTTTACTTTGTCAGTTGGCTGATTGAATTCTCTGTGAACTTATTTTTATTACATTGGGCCTTACTGAGCTCATGTATTTCCCAGAACATTGCATTCTTTGCAAATATTTCACATCTCCACAAATGTTCATGAAAAATTGTTTCTGCAATTGGGATGACTAGAAAAACGTCCTGGTCACAATCTGATTCTCCTGAAATGTTCCCAGGACTAAGCCATCCTGTAAAACAAAACAAAAAGTTTCCTGCTTAAAAAAAGGACAACATGTCTGTGGTAATTCTTTAGGAAACATATCTCAAAACAGAAGAATCAATATTAAAAGGTATGTGTTTTAGTAAGTAGCATGGGAATGCAAAAGGATTAAAACCAATGCAGGAGGCAGCTGAGTTTGTTGTTGGGTGTGCAGAGAGCAAACCTGTAATAATTATGGACTGTGACAATATCTTTTTTTCAGAAATAATTATTGAGTGATTACAATGGTCCAGAATTCCAAAGTGATCGTAGCAGCTTACTTTTCATGGTGTGAGTTAAATGACTGATGAGAGAAAGTCTGTCTAAAGAAGCACAAATACTAGAACAAGCATATAAAGAATGGAGCACAATGGATATTTTGGATTTTGGTTTTTTTTCTATGAAACTGAGAAAAAACAGATTTGATTTATCTTTTTATATCAAAAGGTTTCCTACATGAAATCTTAATGTTAGAATGAAATATCTCTGACTGCATTCCTGTTTTCATGAAAATAAAGTACAGTTCAGGACTAATAAAAGTTGGAAACTGAATTAAATGAAAATAAAAACCTTGTTGATAATTATATGAAGGACAATAGCTTACAGGATATACCCTAGGAACTAAACAAAGAGGCAGCAGCATGGGGGGCACAGAGGGGCAGGCAGGAGACAATACACATGGGATGTGGCTTTAAAGCCAGCTTTCCCCACTGATTGGCTTCTGCAGAGCTACCTACCACCCTTCCTTCCCCCCCAAGCTGCTGTCTCTTTATCAGAGAGAGGTGGAGGCAGGCGGGAATTGGCTTAAAAGATGGCTCCCCCAGACCACTGGCTCCCACTTCTCCTCCCCCCACCCCCCAGTGTGTAAATGAATAACCATTAAATTTTCCAGCAGTTACACATTTACGCATATAAACGATAGTTATATTCTCTACTCCACAGCCACCTTGCCTCTTCCCCTGAGTGTCCCCATCCCTACTCTTCCTCCTCTCTCCCTGAACTTGAGCATGGTGAATGAGCTATTTGCGGTGCTCTAAAAGTTCTGGGAGAGCAGAGGAGGAGTTTCTGAGCTCCAGGCTCAGCTTTTCCCCATGAATGCTCCAATCTGGGAGCACCCTTGGAATCCTTGGAGTTGGACCACAGATGTTGCAAGTCCAAACTATAAAGGTCCAGCCTGTAAACATGCTATGCAAATGCTGAATGTACTCACGCGCAAAATGCCTGTTTTGTGGATCACAGAAGTGTTAATGTGCAGATATACTCCTCCCAAGCCTGTATACTTTTTACTTGTGGACCTTATAATAAAGAAAGAAACCTTTTTATTTCTTGGCCCTAGTCTCCTGACACTAGGCCACAGTTACAAAAGTTTTTAATAAACTTGTAACATGACAGGGGTTAGTGTCAACTGACTTAGATCAGCTGTCTAAAAACAGAGTTGTTGTCTTCTGCTTTTGTTTAGCTATCTTTTGTTCCTCCTTGTGAGGCCGACCTTCAGCTGTGGATTATGTTATCTGAGCTTGCTGTGGGTAGCATAGCTGTTACTTGGTGCAAATTGCCAGCTACTTTGTTTAGAATCAGATATTCTTGCTATCTACATAACTTTATTGTTCTTATCAGAGGGCAGCTTCAGTTTCAGTTTCCTCACATACAGTTCTTTAGTAACTATTTCAGGATTGTTTGCCTAAGAAGCTTATTGGATATTGGCAGCAAGTTTTTTACTTCAGCCCATTAGTTTCTAAGCTGGTGATCTTCATAAAGAACCATAGTGAGGTGTGTTGTATTAATGGCTTCCTTCCATCCACAAGAACTTTTTTTATCAAGTTCTTTTCTGGTTTGCCTAACTTCTCTGCCAGTCCATTTGATGATGGACATGTAACATGCCATGATTAAACTGGCACATCAAAGAGAATCGCCAGAATGAGCCTCTCATGAATTGTGGGCTATTATCTTAATTCATTCACAAAACATAAATGGCAAAATTCATGCAGCCTAGTTTCCAAGAGCATTCTGCAAAATGAGCTGGTAATTAAATATAAATGAGTCTGGTTGGGGAACTGCTTTACAGCTCTGGCACCAGTATGATTTGTGTTCAGGAGGAATAAAACATAACATTACAAATTTAAAACCTAAACAAGTAAAATGTAGGCTCTATAAAATATATATTTCCGTGGATAACTATCTGCAGATTCAAATGACTTTCAAATAATTCCTATTATGTGACACCCATTAGTGTCTCAAATTCCCCATTAAATATCAGCAAGGAAGATTCATCACCAAAAATGCATCTCCATCCCAAGACCAAGATTTGGTAGCAACAAATTTTTCCTTTTATGCAGCCTGTGCCCACAATTTGCTGGAGTACTGAGATGTGTCATACATAATTCATAACTGACTACAGAAGCTGGTGCTGGCTCTGAAATGTACTTTCAAAGCTATGCCAATGGCTAGTTGCTGCTTTCCCTTCCTTTCATCACCTCCCCTTTCTCTCTTTCTTTGTTAGTTTTGTTTGGGTTTGTCAGCCCAAAAAAGTTAATGTGAAATAGCCTGAGAAGTGGACATAGGGCAAAAAGAGAGAGAGGCTGGCAGTGAGAGAACTTTCTGGAAAACTTTAAATAATTAAACATGCCTCCTACCGCAAGAAAATCCCACTGCTTACATTTATTTTAAAAATATTTAAGTAGGATCTTGCTAAGTTTACAATTAACTATTTGAATTCTAACATACACATTACAAGCAACCAGTGGTTATGCTGGTTTAATGACTTGTGGCATGCCCAGATCACAGAAATGATGTACAGGTTTTAATGCCAATGGGGGACACCGATCGCGTGGGAGCACAAGATATTAAGTTATTAGAAAAAGTCCCCATGATTCTACAACGAACAGTGAATTGTATATACATACGTTACCAATGCCACAGACATGCCATTGACTCTCTATAACCTTCCTCAAAATACCTTATTTGTGGCTAAGTGGTGCAGAAATTTGGTCTGCCACTACAATGGCTATGTAGTTAGAAGAACAATCAGGTATACATCTTTCATTTCTCACAAGAGCTAAGTGCACCTATATGTGTGAAAATCAGAGATTGTTTAGTGAAATCTTACAGGTGTAAATTAAGCAATATATATATATATATATATAGTGTAAACAACAAATGCATAAAGTAAACAAATTGGAAAAATAGCAAA